TCCAGAGCCAGGGCAACCTGCAGAAAGGTACAGGGAGAGAGAGAGGACACACTACGGGAGAGAGGAGACACAAAGTTAGTAATGTGTAATGGTGGTATATAGAAGCATATGGAGAGAGAGGAGAGGAGAGGAGAGGAGAGGAGGGAAGTGGAGGGAGGATGAATTTTTAGAGGGATTTGCAAATGATCTGTTAGAGGCCATGAAGACCATCTGCAATAGAAATGGAGGTATGGTGATTGAGGACTTTTAGATTGTGGGTACATGTGACATAACAGTCCACTTTAATCCACCTGAGCCATATACTTTTCAGTGTCTGCTCTGGAATAACCAAGCAAGTGACCTGCTGCCAGATATGCAACTCTGTGGTCAAATTAAAGTGGCAGAAAGTAAAATCCAAAATGGCTGCCACTGCCAATCTTCTGATGCAGATATGGTTTGTCTGCTGCACTGTGACAATGAGAAAATAAAAACTAAAATGACCATCTCTGATGGCCTTTGTGTAAAGAACACTTTCTTGTCAACATCACAAGTGACCAGATGGTTTCAGACCACTATCAAACAAGCGTGGGCACCAATTTCACACAAGTATGAGTTTGAGCTCAACATTCGCTACATTGATGCTCCAGGTGCTCTAGTCGATTCGATTCAGATCGGGAAAGAAGATTTGTTTCAATATGAATCCTGTGGTTAAATATAACACTGACACTCATTTCTACATTGCTCCTTGCTGCCCAAAGAATTTGGATACTCTCTGGACGCTCTCCCTGACCAGCTATGAGGATCATCTCCTAGAACATCTTGCCAAAAGCCTGCCTGAAAACTCCTGCCACATTCAAACACTTGAAATCGCATGTTTCCTTCACAAGAGACAAACCTCATTGTCAGGAAGTAGTGCGCTCAAGGATTTTCATTTCAAAACTGCATAAATGTTGCTTATAATGCCTTGAGGATTCTGCTTAAGAAACCTAGGTCCACCAGCGCCAGTCTGTTGTGTTCACAGGTCCGTGTTAGTACCTTTCAGGCATTAATGAGAAACCTGATGTACAGATTTATCTGTTGTGTGAATAACTCTGAGAACAGTCTTATAATGATGCTGGCTAATCCTGGTTTTAGTGTAGTACGTTACCAATCCTCTGTGAAAACATTGGTATAAATGTCTTATTTTAATTTTTGCTTTTTATATCTTTTTTTTTTCTTTTATTTCTTTTTTGTATGGACCTCGAGTCTGCTAATAAAGGATGATTAATGCATCTGCTTCTAACCAGAGACCCAACACAGTGGAAACACAACTGTGTGGCTAGCAGGCTTCAAGACCTACTGGATTTCATGAAGGGAAGTCTGGAGAAAAAGCTGCTGCACCATGTGCTTATTGGGAACCCTTTAAAGCAGGTCATTCAACTCCCCACCAAGTTTGCTCAGGCAAAGCCATTGAATCTCTTTCATCCTCTTGTGGTACACAAATGCATCTACAGAAATGCAGTGATGCATTTCCAGGAGATGCTTAGAAATGCAGACATGCTGATACATGATTATGTATAATAACTGCATCAACATCACCACTGGCTACATTTGAGAAATTCTGTACAAGACAAATATACAATCCAAATCAGCTTGTCAGCACTGAATGAGTCATTTGTTCATGAAGTTTTTATTTAAAAGCACAAGTCATTTCCATGCAATTTTCCACTTTTTCAGTTTAGGGGTCTTGCTCCATCATGTTGGGGTCTTCCAGATTAAACACCTCAACAGGGTCAGCCTCCAAATATTGATCCTTGCTGCTGAAGTTGACATTGACTGAGCGACTTGAGATGATTTTCCTGGAAGCTATTAATACAGGTTACAAACCTTAAATTCAATGTAGTTCAGTAATTTTATGACAAGATTCCATGATTATCAGATAATGACTTTAGACTTGCAGTATTGATTGTACAACAGTAAAATGCTTCTTCAAATGACTGATGCCCAAGTTGCGCTCTGTGCCAGAATGAGGATGTGTAAACCTAATGCATGTCACACAGACAGATTTCAAAACTTACCCTTAGGCTGTGCTGGAGGGCAAGCCGACGGACAGCAGGCGCACACAGAGTCTTCACCGTACAGCTCCTTCCACCTAAACAGAGTTAGGTTTTGAAAGCCAGCTACAAGTGTGGTGACAAAGACCTACACACACACACACACCTGGCAGTACTCAGACCACCACATGAAACATTTCATCCTACAATGCTATCAAAAGCACACTACCACCACCTGTATGTGTTCAGCTTTGAGTCTACTCACTTTTTTGTAGCTTGATCATAATTGCAGGCCTTTGAAATCCGGGTTGGAGTAAGTGACCTTATGTCAACCACACAGTGCATGAACAAGTGAAAGGCTGAACCCTGAAAAGATACTGGATTTCAGCAAAACAAATTAAACACTAGAGCATGCAGAGCTTTGTACCACTTGGCAGTACCTGTGATGAATTTGAAACCACATCACTGAAAATCATTGTGCCCACAGAGAATTTCACTGCCATATTTGAGGGTCCAGGGAGGAACCTTGACTGTTCCGTCACCATGCTATCAATCATACAGCTGCAATTAGAGAACACACACTGTGACAAACCTAATGAAAAGTAGTTCTGAAAAATGTCTCTTGGTACCCAATCTTACCCATGGTTGTCAATGACTACATATTTAGGGTAAGCGCTGGGGTCACGGGAGTGCGTTACAAAGCACTTGGTAATATACATCCTCCGATCTTCAGAACTTCCAGTGTAGTTAAGTTCCTTGACTCCAAAGTACACTGGCTGGCCCAAGGTGTAGGTTTCACTTCCAGTGATTTCATTCCCTGATGCTGAGGCAGAGAGGGGGAATCAGTTACTGACCTATTTTAAACAAAACAAGGGCTGCTGCATGCATTTGCTACACAGGGGTCTACAGAAAAATAAAATCATGCAATACTAATCTTTTGAGTTCCTGACACTTCCTGAAGACAGCATTTAGCATTACACCCAGGCATATGGTATCTATAAGACCCTTAACTCACAAAATATGATTGAGTGCATTTAAGTAATTCCCCTCAGATTACTTGCCAGTTTAATAAAAAAAAGGGACCAATTTATACAACCTCAATTTATTCTTATGCTGCCATTTTCCCACCATGTTACAGTATTTAACAATGTTGTCCAATATTTAGCATTTACCTACATGTATATTTCTAGCTTGTATACATTTCTGCATGTAAAAATTATGCCATTTTTAAAGATCTGTTTTTAATTAAAACTTCCCTTTGCAAAACCTTGTGGAGACACCTTGTCCTGAAAACATTGGCCAACACCTTTGCATGCTTAAAACAGAAATCAATTCACATTAAACAGGGAACGTACCATCTTGAAGAAGTAGGGCGAAACGTCTTTTTCCATTGAGCACTTTGAAAATTTTGTGTGGTTCTATTATGGGATATAAACTTGTATAGGCATAGGAGTACATTAACCTGAAACAATTTAGACAATACAAAATTAGGAAACCAGCATCTTTGTCATATAGGCTTAACAGCATGCCAAGTGCTGCTAAAATATATAGCCTCAATGTAGACTTAACATTAAATGCTGGTAGCTAATGTTAGTGGAGTCAGTTGCAACTTAAACCTAAAGTAGCTAGTCTTACCTTGGAATTTTACACTTAAGGAGAATGTGAAATGGCATTTCCCTTAAAACAGGAGTGGTTGGCTTATAATGGAGCTCAATACTGATGATCACATAATTGGAAGCATTCTAGAATGACACACACACACAGCTTTTTGTCACAATGAAGCACAGTGAAAGTCATATTGAAAATGAAAACGCCTTTACCAACCTCTATCTTGAATCCACACTCAGTTTTCAAATGGTACAGGAGGAAGTAATGGGTGGTGTTAGCATTGTTAACAGGACAGGTGCCTAGTTTCAAATATTTGAACGCATTGATAGTCTTAAAGATTTTTCTATGGACTCTCACATACATCCTGTCAAGGTGACATAGGATTTCAACCTGCTGTGTTTCACCTCCTATTCTTTCAGGTTTAAGAATATAGGGAGGAGTACCACGTAACACTGACTTGGCCCAGTCAGAGAGGGAAGTGTTACTGTTCTCTCCTGGCTCAAAAACCTTTTTTTGGTCCTTGGAAAGTGGAACAGGCAAAAACTTAAAAAACTTCATTGCTTCAGGTCTTGAAGATCCAGTGCCTGATAAACTGTGTCCAGCTCTGGGAGCAGGGACTGGCATCCTCCTCTCACCTTTCTCTGTTGCCGTTTTTGCCCAGTCTAATTCAAGACCTTGCATCAATGGACCATCTGCAGCTCTGTCTCTGAACTGATAGCTATAGGCCAAACAAAACAACAGTAATAAAAGCCCCACATCTATCAAACCCATTTTCACTCAGGCAGCTACCTCTCACTGAAACAGACCTCTCACCTAGACAGGTTGAAAGGTATAATGGTGTTTCACCTGGCTTTTTTGAGGCTTCCCACAGATGCAGCCAGTGCCAATCAAAACCAACCAATGAGAGGCGACCAATAATAATCACCCTTAACAGGCTACACCCTTCTCATCATCCACTGTGGATCATATGTAGGCCTTGCATTTCCTTTATCCAGTTCAGTGGCATAATATAGAAAATAACATTTGAATAAAATCAGTCATTTGAATTTAAAAGCCTTTGGGCCCCAAAACAAAATGTGTATTACACAAAGAATAGAGGTGACAAAATCAAGACATTAAATAAGTAAATTCAATATAAATGAAATGCCTTGTAATAATAGTACATGTTTTAAATAAAAAGGTGCAAAAGGCATGGTTATCTTGCTAAGATATTTTTAAATATTTACCACAGCAGATTAATTATATATACACAATTCCTATTACTGATAAGCATGCAGTCCGTAGCTTACAATAAGAGTCTCAGTGCTATTTACAAAATCAAAAGATCAGCTGTGGTCACTCAGTCTAGACCAGTGATTCCAAACTTTTTGGGCTTGCGGACTAGCAAAATACAATTCACTGTCAAGAGCAGCTGTACGACAACAAACAAAAGAAGTTTAGCTCACTCTGTCTCAGTGTGATCCATGGGCCTGCTTTCTGGAGACAACGCGGTCATAGCGAGGAACAGTGATGGAAGAAGTACTCAGATCCCTTACTTAAATACAAGCAGCAACACCACAGTGTAAAAATACCATGTTACAAGTAAAAGTTCTGCATTCAAAAAGTTAATTAAGTAAAGGTACAAAGTTTTAGCGTCAAAAAGTACCAGAAGAGAAAGTACTCATTATGCAGAGTAGAACATTTAACATTAATGTAATCATATGATTATAATTACTGATGCACAATTGTGTTTATCACACTTAATGTTGCAACTGGTAAAAAGAGAGCTAGTTTTAAGTGGCTTATATGCTTATAATTTGAAGTATTTTACATACTCCTGGGTAGTTTGTGGATTTTCTCCAGCAGAGACCAATAAAGTGATTATATGATTATACTGTAAACTTTGTTTTAATCTGGTTCTGAAAAGTAACTAGTAAGTAAATTTATAATAAAAAAATGTAGTGGAGTAAAAAGCACAATATTTCCTCTAAAATCTAGTAAAGTCCAAGTATGAAGTAGCACAGAATTAAAATACTCAAGTAAGGTAGATACCTCAAAATTGTACTTAAGTTTAGTACTTGAATAAATGTACTTAGTTACTTTCCACCACTGACGAGGAGAAATGTGTGTGAGTGACAGAGGCAATGTGTTTCTGACATCCATTCTGTTGCGGTGCCTTATTTTAATGGAACTCAGAGATAAAAATCCAGCCTTACACAGGTATATAGATGGAAAGTCCTCCATTGTTTTACAACTGCAGTAGTTTGTCCCCCTGTTCTGATGTTAAAGATGATGATTCAGAATTGAAAGGGTCATGTAGGTACCTCTCAAACTCCACTGTGAGTTCGACTGAGAATCAGCTGTCAGAACTTTCCCATGTGCTTTGTGTATGTTTGAGACATGTCACAGAACCTCCATTCCACACTTTTTGTCCAAGATTGTAGTTTTGCTTTAAAAGCGAAAATTGTATCATCCAAATTACTACGTACACAGGCCTTTGCATCCTAGTATCAGCCCAGACTATAGTTTTGGAACCTCTGGTCTAGACCAGTTCAAGTGGGTACTGCCCTATCCCATGCCTGACCACCAAGCGGCAGTATTGACCAAATTGCTACTTGGCGCAATCGAACGTGAAGAAGACGGCAAACTATACTTGTACGAGGCGCGTAAGGGTGAGATTCGTGCTTTAATGCAAGCGTTTTCAAACGCAGTATTTGACTTCTATGAAAGAAAATACGCTGGCGAGTTTGTGGTTGGTTTTGCATAGGTGCGGCCGGTTTGTTTGCCCGGCTCCATTAAAGTGTTGCACAAAGCAATTTAGTCGTTTCTGGAAGAACCATCCGGGCAGTAGGGACTCTCCTGTGTTGTAATCGTTTGTGTTTTCTGGCTAGCTAACAAGCAGTTAACATTAACAGCTACGGTTGTTTTGATTATGTCAGTATTAACGTTCTGGCTCAGCTCTCCAGAGGTAACATATTGACTAATTTTTCAATATAACATTAGTCCAGTAAAATAAGGAAGTTGCTGTTTGCCTTAGAAGCTACGAAGTAAACGATATAGCTCGTGTAAATAGTGGTGCACCAGCTAGCTGTTTAGCTAACGTTAACGTCAAACGACGGTCGCTCAGCTTTTGCTCCCACCGTTGGGGACCTTCTGGTTTGTTCCTTACCCCAACAACAGACGTGTGGCGAGCTTATAAAGCTCTCAGCGAGCCGGACCCAATGCGTGGAATGATGGGGTCCCAGAGTAGTCCTGTCAAGAGTTACGATTATCTCCTGAAATTTCTTTTGGTGGGAGACAGCGACGTCGGAAAGGGAGAAATCTTGGACAGTTTACAAGACGGATCAGTGGAGTCCCCCTATGCCTACAGCAGTGGTGAGCAAATATGTCTGATCTTGTTCAGTTGTTTAGAAATAATTTCTACGGACTAACATGACCACAATTAATGAACTTTATGTGATTGTATGTAATCTCAGGGATTGATTACAAAACCACCACAATTCTGCTGGATGGGAGAAGAGTGAAATTGGAGTTATGGTAAGCCTTTTATGATCGAGACAATAGTGGCTGCAGTAATGAACAACCACAGAGCATACTGGCCTACTTACCTCCTTGTGTGTGTCTTCATCAGGGACACATCAGGGCAAGGCCGATTCTGCACCATCTTCAGGTCTTACTCTCGTGGAGCACAGGTGAGATCTTGAGCTATTGTGGTCTTTACCCCACATCTTATTTAAGTATGTAAATATGACAGTATGTTTGGCTTTCATTCCATAGGGCATCCTGCTTGTATACGACATTACTAATGGCTGGTCATTTGATGGCATTGACCGCTGGATCCGGGAAATTGATGAGGTGATCCCCTTCAGCCCATTTGTCCTTGACAAAGTTATATCATGTGCATGTATCATTCCAGTCCTGGGAAAGGCTGTGTCTAGCTCTGGCACAGAGTCTGCACACCACATAGTTGGACATGTAGTATAGCCTTTTTGTAAGCCTGTGTTAAGAGATACATTAAGATGTATGATATTATATTGCTTTATTTTGATATAATCTTTTTTCATTAGCATGCCCCAGGTGTGCCCAGGATCCTGGTAGGAAATCGGCTTCACTTGGCTTTCAAGCGGCAGGTGCCAACGGAGGTGGCAAGAGCTTATGCAGAAAAGAACAGCATGACTTTCTTTGAGGTCAGTCCGCTCTGCAACTTCAATGTCATCGAATCCTTCACAGAGCTTTCTCGCATTGTGCTGATGAGGCACGGGATGGAGAAGTTTTGGAGGCCCAACAGAGGTGAGCTGGTTAATAATTTTTTTGCCTACTAATTCTCTCAGATTAGCAATGTAAGATTTTCTCCCCTCTAGACAAAGATCAGGTTCTAAAAGTTTCTTTGTTTTTTTTCTTTGACCAGAGTTTGCGATATTGAGCTCTGAAATCTACACTACCATCCTAGTTGAATGGATATGAATGAAATTCAGTTTTGTACTCTTGAAAATTAACTCTGAAAACCTTAAAGTCAGGGTAAAGTGGAAATGTATATGTCTTCTGAATTTGTCACACCACAGCAGGTTCTGCTCTATGCTTGGGTGAGGATTGGGTTCAGGGATGCTTTGTGTAGGTTAGGTTTGGAAAATTGTATTGATCGTTGTGGCTCTGAAGATTTATGACGGCATGGCCCAACACCCCCTCTTTTGAGCTAAATAATGGGTAAACATTTAACTCTTATACCGAGCTTCCACACGAATGCTCTCCCATTCTTCAGCACATTTAATTGTGTATTATTGATTGTTAATGCTGGTGACTGCTGTGAAAGGGGCAGCTGACAACTAGAGAAAGACCAAGTGACAGCCTGGAAAGACAGCTGACAAGAGGAAGTAGACCCAATTTGGGCAGCATGGACTGACAGCCCATGACAGCAGTTTAGTGTATTTAGGTTGCACCAGTCAAGCCACAAGTAAGCAAAAGAGCATACCCCAAGAGTCAGCAAGAGCAGGGGTGGAAGCTGTAATATATGAATATGGAGTGCAAAGGTTTGGAGTTTGCGAGAGTGCACAGTTTAGGTGTTGTATCACTTCAGCACATCTTCTCAGGGTGTGGAACAAACCTGGCACAAGGACAATACACTCGGAGACAGAGGGGATTTTGTTTGTTTTTGAGTGTGAAAAAGGCAGGAAGCAAGTCATCTTGAACAGGCTAGGTGCATGCCAGCTGAAGGCAGGGAGAGATTGGCAAATTAAAGTAGATTTAGGGAATCAGCTCATAGTTCCTAAGGAGATAGTCAGCACTAACCTTAGACCAGACCTTGTGTTGTGGTCAGAAGCACAGCAGATTGTGTTTTTTGTTGAGTTTACAGTTCCCTGGGAAGATACTGTAGATACATCTTATGAGAGGACGAAACCGAAATGCACACAGTTGGCCATGGAGGCAGAGGAGCATGGCTGGAAGGTTGAAGTCCACCCTGTGGAGGTTTGTCATTGAGGATTTGTAGCCAAGCCAGCTGTCTCTCTCCTGGGTGAGTTAGGTTATAAGAGGGTGGAGGCTAAGACAGGTAATTAGGAATCTAGCTGATAGCTCAGCAAGGTCCAGTGAGTGGCTCTAGAGCAGAAGAAAAGTGTGTGAATGGGGTAAAAATAGGCAAGTGATTTATAAATGGCAATTTATGTGAGGATTATTATTATAAGATGAAGTAAACTAGCATAGGAGGACAGGCTTAGTAAAGGTATTTGATACATGCAGCAGGCTTGAGGCCTACTTCTGGTGTTATGAGCAAGTTAACATGAGGGCATAGTAGAGGTTTGACTGGTTTGTTGGAATGAATACTGATGCAGGGTGGTTTCTGATGCAGTATAAAAGGAAGCAGAAGTCTGGCTAGTTATTCAGTGAACTATTTGAAATATTTGGTGGCTAGAATAGCTGGTGACTGTTTGGTAACAGTTAGCCTGAGTAGATGAAGCGATGTGTAGGTGCAGGCAAAAAAAAGGGGGG